TTGGTGAGCTGCAGGAGTGGGGCGGCCGAAGGGTCGTCGGCTAACGCTCGGGTGAGGAAGAATAACAGTTGCACCGGCAACAGCACGCCGCAATGTAGTAGTGGTGTGCCCTGTTTGTCCTCAGCACTCGTGCTGCCTCCCCCGGTGTTGCGCCGCTGGCTGGAACCAGCGCCCCGTCGGCTATTTGTTGGCAGTGGATCTGGTTTGGCAGTGGGGTCGCGCTTGGGAGCCAGGGACATCTGCACCAGGCTGCCATCCCGGACGGGGGATTTCCGTCCTTCAAGAGCCCGGGGGAGCGAGCCCTTGAGCCCCGCGAGTTCATCAAGGAGCAGCCACCACCAAATCTCAGGACGGGCAAGTTCATACCAGGAGAGGTCGAAAACCTGTCCTTCAGGCAGGCGCAGGACTGGGTCACAAAATTGTGCCAGTGCCACGGACGCAGCAAGCAGCGGCGTCAAGCAGACGCGAAAGGCTTCGCTCTCAGTGCAGCGCCGCAACATGAGGGCTCGATCGGCAAAATCCACAACTTTCACCCCAAAGTTCTGTGGGCTGAGCTTGAGTTCACAAGCAGGCAGCGACAAGGGGAGAGAAAGCAGGGTAAGGCAATCCGTAGAGCTGGGGAGTAAATGCTGCAGTGCCCCGGCGCAGTCAATTCCATCGACCGGCTGCTGAAGTCTGCCCCTAGCTTGGTAGCGGCGAAGCGTGTCATGCTGCTCTGCGAATTCATCCTCATCTTCTGCCGGTACACACCGGCTGGCAATTGAAGTAACTCCCGGCACAAGGCGACAAGGCGGGGTTTCGACCGCATCCAGTAGGTCCGCCACGCGTTGAGTCCATGTAGCAGTAGGTGCGACCGGAAGGGAGACCGCACAGCTTTGACTGCGCAGCTCGGCGGTCAGCGCCGGATCCTCCTTGGCAGGCTCTCCGGTGTCCGGGTCCGCGCGTACCGCTCCCGCCGGATCATATAGGGCTCGTGGAAGGCCCGTAGTAGCCACCGGCGGTAGCAAGACTGCTTCAGGGGAAGAATGGCGTATGTGCGTCGACACATAACGCTGTAACCTCCCAAGCAGCCTGGTGTTGACCGTGTCAGCGGCGATAGCATAAAGATAGAATGCTCCGGGCACGGCAATAACTGTCGACTCCGAAGCACCGGCTTGGCCTCGGCACTCAGTCGCTGGCTCCGCGCAAGTCATGTGTGACCCGACGAGCGACCGGTGGTGGGTGGAGCGGAGGGCACTGTATAGCCTTTTGGGGTTAGTAAACTCCAGTAGTCCAATAATGGGGTACTCGGTGTCGATGACCGGATAAAACGGTCGCGCCGTGATGGCCTGGCCTCGGGGTCCACTGTGCTCAAAGTCCACACCCCGAAGGAGGAGCTGAACCGGGTAGCCATCCATGCCACTGTGTGCTGCAACGGCTGTAGCCTTACAAAGCGAAGGGACACGGTTCACAGACCATCGTTCGTAAAACTCCTGGGCGGTCTCCTTGTCCTCACGTGGGGGGCTTGGTAGCCCAAGCTTGGCGAGCCCATAAGCTCTGTACAGCTCCTCCCATCGCACGTGGGTGTGATGAAGGACAGAGTGGAGCTCCAATGCAGCGGGAATGCCCCACCAATGAGAGGGAGAGGCGATGATCAATGGGCCCGTGGGCCGCGTGCTGCCGGCCGTGAGCCGCTGATGGGCATCCTCTCCAGTCATGGTAAAGCGCCCGGCCCTGTCAATAATACAGATGTCGACCGCCCCTGTAGTGCCAGCGCATACCGTAGTGGTGAAAAGGTCAACAAAGGCGCCCAGTTCGTTGTGATGCTCATAGAAAAAGGAGAAGAGGGATGCGGCCTGCGCCTCGGTGGCGAGTTGTCCCGGAGGAGGGAGCTCTGGCAACCAGTCCGATATGAACTCCGCGAAGGATGTGCCCTCAGCCACTACTCGGTGCGCGTCACCAGTGTCGGCGTTGGCAGGGCGTGCATTGCTGAGGCCAAGACCATGCTTGAGGGAGTCAAAAACCCGGGTGGTGGGTGTGACGACCGTGATTTTCCGTCCAGCCTGGACTGCAAAACGATGCCCGCAGACATTGTAGGCGAGAACCAGAAGGACACAGAGCAATTCCACAAGGCCATCGGGGTGCATGGCTGAGGATGTATGCCGTGGTAGTCGGACGAAATACACTCCTGGCTGGTGAGTGCCATCCGCCGCAACCCGCTGAAGCCGCCTTGCCGCGGTAGCCGCAGCCAGCTCGCCAATGGTGATCGGGCATGGAGAGGCGTCACAGGCCCTGTGCATAATAACGGATTGAGGGTATCTGACGGCCGTTATAAGTAGGTAAAGGTCGGCCAGCAGCCTGGTGGAGGCAACCAGGGCCAAATTTAGGCAAACCCCATTGATGGGGTTTTGCTTCCGCCTCTCTCTTATGCGGTGGCCTCCAGACTGCTCCAGAGATCGTCGTGCTTGGAGCTAATTCAAAATCGAAAGGGTGTTGAGCGTACGGCTTCGGACCAAAAACGAAAGATTGACAGGGCTCAGGGGCGTAGGACGCAACGATCTTCGGCCTTTTAGCCCCAAAATATTCCTCGCAATCGGAGTTCGACGATTGTGGACTTTCTCGCTCCCCTCACTCTCTCACTCCGCTCTCTCCGCTCGCTCGACTCGCTTCGCTCGCTCGCTCGCTCCGTTCGCTCCGTTCGCTCGTTCGCTCCGCTCGGGTCCACAATCGTCGAGCTCCGATTGGCTCGTCCTAATTTTGGGGCTAAAAGGCCGAAGATCGTTGCGTCCTACGCCCCTGAGCCCTGTCAATCTTTCGTTTTTTGGTCCGAAGCCGTACGCTCAACACCCTTTCGATTTTGAATTAGCTCCAAGCACGACGATCTCTGGAGCAGTCTGGAGGCCACCGCATAAGAGAGAGGTGGCAACATTTGCGTGGCAACATTTGCGTGGCTACCTTTGCGTGGCAACCTTTGCGTGGCCACATTTGCGTGGCAACATTTGGCGCGGATCCGTGGCAACATTTGCGTGGCAACATTTGGCGCGGCTCCGTGGCAACATTTGTGTGGCAACATTTGGCGCGGCTCCGTGGCAACATTTGCGTGGCAACATTTGCGTGGCAACATTTGGCGCGGCTCCGTGGCAACCTTTGCGTGGCAACATTTGGCGCGGCTCCGTGGCAACATTTGCGTGGCAACATTTGCGTGGCAACATTTGCGTGGCAACATTTGCGTGGCAACTTTTGCGTGGCAACATTTGCGTGGCAACATTTGCGTGGCAGCACTTGCGTGGCAGCACTTGCCTGGCAACATTTGCGTGGCAACATTTGCGTGGCAACATTTGCGTGGCAACGTGTCTGTGGCAAGAAGCATTCCGGTGGCAACAATTTGTCCGCGCTCTCGTTACGCCGCAGTGCTGCACGGTGTCGTCGTCGCGTCGTCGTCGTGATGTTGTCGTCGTCGCGTCGTCGCGTCGTCGTCGCGTCGTGGCCTCGTTTTCGTCTCCACGCCGGCTCTTGGGGTAACATTGTGGAGGGCTGGAGGGACTGGCTGCAAGGGCTGAGGCAGGAGGGTGGCTGTAGGGGCTGCAGTGGCTGCAGGGGCTGTAGCCCTGGCTGCAGGGGCTGCAGTGGCTGCAGGGGCTTCAGGTGGGGGACTGGGCTGGAGGGACTGGGGGGCTGCAGCAGCTGCAGGACATTTGGGGGTAACATTGGGGTAAACGGTTCAGGGGTAACATTGGGGTAACGGGGCTCTGGGGGTAACATTGGGGTAACGCGGGCTCTGGGGTTAACTTTGGGGTAACGCCGGCTCAGGGGGTAACGCCGGCTCAGGGGGTAACGTTGGGGTAACGCGGGCTGTGGGGTAACATTGGGGTAACCGCGGCCTCCGTCGTAGAGATCGGAAGCTGCAGGAGCTTGGTGGGATTAGGCCCTCCAAGCTCTCGCGTTTCTGAAGTGCCAGGAGAGGGCAGTAAATCTTAGGGCTACTGAGGGCCTGGTCAGGCTAAGAAGGTGAAGGTGAAGGGCCTCTAATCTTTCGGGCAAGGAGGGCCTGCGTCGTTGCCGCGTCGTCGCAACGTCGCCATCGTTGCATCGTCGTCCCGTCGTCGTCGCCGCGTCGTCGCTACGTCGCCATCGTTGCATCGTCGCCGCGTCGGCGTCGCATCGTCGTCGCCGCGTCGTCGTTGCGTCGTCGTCACGTCATTGTCGCTGCGTCGCCGCTCACTCCCAGCCGAGGTGCCCTCATTAGTGCCCTCACTAGGTGCCCTCACTCCCCGCCCCAAGGTGCCCTCACTAGGTGCCTTCACTCCCCAAGGTGCCCTAAAGGTGCCCTCACTAGGTGCCCTCACTTCCCGAGGAGGTGCCCTCACTGGGTGCCCTCACTTCCCGAAGATCCCGCCGTGTCGTCGTCGCGTCGTCGTCGCCTCCTTCCGTCTGCGCCTCTATCCTCACCGCCTCTATCCTCACCGCTATCCTCACCCGTGTCCTCATCCCCGGACCACAGCGCTGGTCGTCGCGCCGTCGTGTCGCCGTGCCCGCCCCTATCCTCACCGCTATCCTCACCGCCCGGTCCTCACCACTCGTCGCCGCGTCGTCGTCGCGTATACCGCTATCCTCACCGATCCTTGGGGGGGAGCATGAGGCGCTGCAGCGACTGTGAGGGCCTCGGGGGCTGCAGCGAGGCCCGCGTCGTCGTCGCGTCGTCGCCGCCGCCGCGTCGCCTCGTTTCGCGGGGGCAAGAACCTCTACGCAAGTTGGTGAAGACTGCTGGAGCGAAATATGGGGCGACACCCGCGCACTCGCGCGCGCGTCGTCCCCGCGTCGTCCCCGCGTCGTCCCCGCGTGGTCCCTGCGTCGTCGCGTCGCCGCGTACAGTCCGCTGCGACCACGCGTGCGTGCCGTCCTGCATGCGTGTTCGTCGTCGTCGCGCCGCGCGAGTTCGGGGTCGCACATGGCGTTCTGCACGCGCGTTCGTCGAAGCAAGCGACCTGGAAAAACACATCGTGACAAGTACCACGAAAGCCTCAGAGATGTCGGCGGGCTGTACCTTGCCGGGTCGAGCCAAAGACAACAATGACTTGAACAGTTGCAAGACTGCTACCGCCGCGCGCAGAGATTCGCACTGGCCTACTTTTTTGCTCAGGCGATCGCCGTTCTTTCAAAGTGGTCTCTGCGCCTGCAAAAACGTCCGCACTAAGACTATACATGTAGCCTGCATCTTGCAGGGCCTTCTCGGTTTCACCCAGGACGTAGAAGACGAAGTACCAATGACGCAGAGCCACCTGGGTACTCGTGGTGCTCCGGAGGACTGCCTGCGCCGGCTGCAGGCGCCGGAGCTCCATCTCCAGCTTCGTCTCCTTCTTCAGCGCATCGCCCCCGCTGAGGTAGCCTTTTGGGCCCGCCTCGGCCACCTTCGTCAGGTAGTCCAGGTACTTGGACTCGGGCTTCTGTCCCAGCAGACGCCGGATGAACTGCTGAAACTCGTTCTCCTCCGTCTCAGCCAGAACGTCCTTGATGGGCTGGATCTTCTTCTCATACCACTTGTCGATCTGGCCCTTGATCCCCCGCGCATCCGAGGCGTTGGCCTTGGCCGCGTTTTCCAGGAGCAGCTGCAGCTCGCGGAAGCTGCCGCCAGCGCGAAGGTAGAAGTACTTGAGTACCTCCTCCTGGCTTTGCTCGTCCATCTTGAGATATCCGGCAATCTCCGGAATCTCCAAAGCCAACGCCACGAAGCCTCGGCACGGGCTTATTGCACGACTTGGCAGCGAGGTCCTGCATTCGCCCACACGGCAACTCCAACAGGCAAAACAAAAAAAAGCACACAACAAAGCCAGGGCGCTCTTCAAAGGCAGTGGGTCCACCACCACCAGCCGGGACATGTTGAACTTGTCCTCTGGGGTATCTACTACGCGGCGCTCCCGACTACCATCTAGCCGCTGTTACAGCACCTAGGCAGCACCCTGGACGCCCGATTTTTGACCCAGCCGCTCCTGGATCTTGTCGGCGATCAAGGACACGGACAGCTCGACAACCAACTTGCACAGCGGGTAGTCGTACGTCAGCTTTCGGCCGAAGGCTCCGACCTCTGTCGCTAACGCTTCGCACTGGTCATCGGTGAAAGGGGCGCCCCGGAATTTGGTGGACAACTGCAGGTACACGATGAGGGGGCCGCCACTTTCGCGACTGCACTTCTCGCTCAGGGTCTTCAGCAGGGTTGGGATCAACTGGAAACTTGGCAGGAACTGCGGCAGGTTCCGTGTTCTCAATGCCTGCTGCGCTACATCCGTGAGATCCAGTTTGCCGCCCGGGTCGATTTCTTGACTCACGGGCAGCACCCAGCGGCCGTCGTCGTGATACTCAGCGAACAGGCTCTCCAGCATGGTGGACTTCCCGGTTCCTTGCGCTCCACTCACGACCAGAAATGACGGGCTTGTTTTCGGAAAGGGACCTGGGCTGTTGACAAAGGCCTTGATCGTTGCCTTCTCTGGTCGCTCCACGACACGCACGCTTTTGGCTTCGTCCGACATCTGCTGTCCTGCAGCGCGGATGGATGCCCTAAGCAGTCCAAGGGGAAGGCTCCTTGGTGGCAACAGTCTCAGATAGTCTTTGATTAAAGCCACCACTCCACACAGCGACGCCAGCTTGTAGACCGCGTCCCAGCTCCAAGCCCGCATTTGCACCCTCGGCCTGCCGGCTCGGCATTCTCGGCCTCTCGCAGGCAGGCCACATGGCGGCGTGGCGGGCCAGCTGGGGCCCGGGCAAGCTACAAACATCTTCGCCAAAGGAAGCTGCGGCACAAACAGACAGCGCTGCAAACTCTCCAGTGCTGGCATACTTCGCGCAAGGCGACTCGACACCGACGCTGGACCAGGCCTGGGAGCGCTGCGCGTCGGCAACGGCACTCAATCCACAAAGATGCCACCTGAGCCTTGGCACAGACTTCAGCAAAGCGTAGCCTCTCAAATCCGAGGCTATCACCGTCTCAAGTTCAGCAGCTCTCAGCGCGAACCCTTCGTCGTCTGACGATCCTGCGACCCTCACTCCAGCGTGAAAAAGAGTAAAGGCCAGGCTCATGGCCGATGTCCTGGCAAGGCCGCGGCTCGCAGGAGAATCGTCGAGCAAGTGTACCAAGATCCTCGGACCGGTTTTGGCAGCACTGCAACCGCTCTTAGGGCTGCAAAAGCACGCAATCCCTTCGTGTCGAGAGATGAGGTCAGTTCCTTGAAACTCTAAGGGATCGACACCGATCGGCCTCAAAGAGGATACAATTCGTTTGTGCCTCAGGAGCTGCATGCAAGATTTGGTCCAAAACCCTATCCCTACATGTTGGTTGCTATCGACAGCTTTTCGAAGAAAGTTGCGGCCTTACCCCTCAAGGATCGCCTGGCTACTACCACAGCGACTGCTATGAGAACCGTTATCGATAGTCTGGGTGTCCCCTCGCAGGTGTACTCGGAAGATGGGACCGAACTCAAAAAAGAGTTTAAGCAGCTGCTAGATGATTGGGCGATAGAAAAGTAGGTAGCCAGAGGACAGGCGTTTTTGGTGGAAAGGGTGATCCGAACAATCAAAGAAGGGCTGCTGAGAAGACTGGATCAGGGAATGGGTTGAAGAGCGCAATGGCACCTGCTGTTACCCGACAGAATAGCTCAAATCAACAATCGGGTTCACACGGCTACAGGAGCAACGCCTAACCCTGGCAAAGCAGACGAAGCGTGGAACAACATGAAAAGCCGCGCTAAAGAAACTGCTGAGCCCAGAGCCATCATCGAGGTCGGGGATCGCGTCAGGATCAGGTTGAGACCTCAACTCGATCACATCACAGGGCGTGCCCAGCTCCTGGAGCAACGCGTACCACTCGGCAGCTGAAGCCATGTTTGGACGCTCAGACGCTTGCTCGAGACACAATCCGCAGTGTGTGGGACTCTAGACGACTGCACGACACTGTGGCACTGCAAGCGACTATCTGTAAGAGGCCCCCGCCTGAGAAGATGTTGTTGGTGGAGAACGGACCTGAGCGACAAGGCGGGCCCGGTTCCTGGCAAGGGTTGGGCAGGGCGTGGGCTCAGAGCACTGCCTTGCTGCCTCGGAACCCGCAACCTCGAAGCCTTGCACAACGGTCTAAACTGAACAGACCCTGATATCTAGAGCCCGGCCGCGGCGAAGAGGATGTCGACGAGGGCCTGGTTGCGAGAAAGGGCCCGGCATTCCCGGGACGGGTGGGGAATGCAGGGCGCTCTACAGTTCTGCAGGTAGCTTCCTTGCTGAACCCCACCGCAGCGACAGAGTGAGGCCCACGCTTTCCAGCCAGGCTCCGCGAGCACCTCCTATGTAACGCCGTGTTGTGTCGGCTGCACCTTCTGCATGTTCTTTGCCTGCTCTGTGCCCGCTGTGCCTTGAAGGGTGCGGCGCGGGTCGCAAACACATCAAAAATCACAACATATAGCCAACATGAAAAACCAGGTTCATGCAAAACGTGTTATCTCCCGGCAACAAAATCGGGGTCCTCTTGTAAAACAAAGCCAAATGTTCGATTCTAGGGTTTAGGGGCTATGGAGGGGGTTTAAGGGTTTTTCTTGAGCGAACTGTACAAGGAGCCCTTGTCGGGCTTGAGCCAAACTGTACACGGAGCCTAGCTGTACACGGAGCCTAGCTGTACACGGAACCTAACTGTACACGGAGCCTAGAACTGTACACGGAGCCTAGAACTGTACAAGCGTCGTCGTCATGTCGTCGCGTCGTCCTACCCTACTCTATCCTAGTGGGGCACGCTGAGCCGGGGCTCGGAGTCCATGACCTCCCGTGCTTCCTTGTTTTCATTCCCTTTATTTCACAACATGAACGAAGAACCCAAAGAGCCGCCGCCAACCACCCAATTACAGGAGAATTTCCTAATGATTGATGATGTACCTGGATTTAGTTGTCCAAGTCTGACCTAATAGCCGGTAAGAAACTCAATATCTGGATGCATGAAGGGAGCCAAAAGACACAACTAAATATGAACGAACACGCTTCTTTTTCAATCATTGTTTCGTTCTATTTAATTGGGTCTTTTGTTCCTTTTGTTCTTTGCTCTTTTGCCTCATTTCAATGGAATAAGTGAAAAACACTAAGACGTGCTGGGACTTTTGATCCGCAAGGGCTGTGGGAATCTCGGTTAATCCATGTCTGATGCATGCGCTGAGTGGGCTCTGAACTGCTTTACACGCCCCCTCAGGCATGGATTTCTACGGTCGATTTTCGACCATCTCCAAGCGACCCGCGGTGCAGCACTGTCCGGGCTGCAAGCCGCGTTCGATCGCTTCTTGCAAGGTGCAGCGCCGTACGGTCTTGGCACTGCCCTGCACATTCCTGCACGAAGGCAGGTGAAACGCATATCCCCTCGAGGGCGCATAGACCACATTGTCGTAGCGCCACATCACCAGGGCCTCACCATTGGGGTCCAAAGGGTCCTGTCGAGCGCCCTTTGCCAGCACGAGTCGCCCTCTGGGTCGCCTGGGAACTGTAGTCACTGCCTCTGCAGCCGGTCGCACAGGGTTCGCACCTGTGCCCAGGAACTGGAGAGACCCGTCGCCATTGTGTGCCATCGGTCCTGACCCTCCGGTGGCTGTAGAACTGCTCGGTTCCCCTTGTACGACTTCACGACTGTGCCTCTGTTCTGACCTCTGTGGCCCATGATCTGCTCGATGTGGTCCGTGATCTGCTCGATGTGGTCCGTGATCTGCTCGATGTGGTCCGTGATTAGCTCGATGTGGTTCGTGATCTGCTCCTTGATGTGGTTCGTGATCTGCTTCTCGATGTGGTTCGTGATCTGCTTCTCGTTGTCCGCTACCTCCTGTTTGTGCGTTGCCAGCTGGTCCCCGTGGGCTGCTTGTTGGTCCTCGTCTGCTTGTGCTCTGTGCCTTGGCCTTGGGTCGGGATCCACACGACATCACCGTAGCCGACTCAAGCCCCGAATGTCGTGTCACCTCGACCTTGATCACAAGGGGCCTTCCCCAGGTTCCATAGCACAGCCCGACTGCCACCAACAACACAGCGACCAATCCAAGCGCGGCGGGGTACTCCAGCAGGACACCATTGAGCACCTCAAGAGCGAGCAGCAGCTTCAGGAAGAACTGCTCGACAAAGTCGTTCGTGGCCTGCCCGCTGCCCTCAACAGCGGCACACCCTTGAAGCTGCATGGCCAGCACCATCTGCGCAAGCCGAAGCACGCTTGCATGTTGGCCTCCTCGTCGTGCTCGCCGTTCTTGGTGCTCTTCTTCTCCAATCCTCTGGCCATTGTCGCCGACCATCCCGAGGATGAACAGTAGCAGGGCCATCCGGCGTGCCGTGAGCACTTTGGTGCCGAGGTCAGCGGGGTTGATCTCGGTCGGGATGGCGGAAATCTTCAGCTCTTTCCTTGCCACCCAACCTTGGAGCCAAAGGCATGAGGTCGAGAGGTGCTTGACCTTGCCGATCCCATTGCGAGATGCAATGGCTCGGGCCACTGAGCTGTCGGTGCGGGCCGTCAGGTCAACATCCTCAGGTCGGCGCCCCAGCAGGAACGCGACCGCCTTCCGCACCAACACGGCCTCTCCAACCGTCTGCGTCAGCGCCACCAGCTCGGCCTCGCCAGAGCTCGTCGTGACCACCTTCTGTGCCCTGACGAAGGAGTAGACCAGGGCGCCGTCGTAGTACACCTGGCCTGAACTCAAGCTCCTTCGCGTCTCGTGGCTGTTGGCGAAGTTCGAGTCCGATATCGCCTCGACCACGGGCTTCGCAGCTGGGTCTTTGTGCCCGCTCCTCGGAGGCGCCCCCTCAGACCGCAGTATCGAGCTACCGGTGTGCACTCGCAGGTTGATCCCGTAGCCCTGCGTTGCCCAAAGGTACCCGCAAAGGTGGCAAAGCACTCTCATTGGTAGGTCACGGCCCGGACCGCGCACTCGTAGGGCTCCTCTATCTCACCATCCGACATCTCATAGACCTCTAGGATGGGGGCAGACGGAGGAGTGATCATCCTCACAAGTCGCACGGCTCGGCCATGTCCAGCGGTAGGTGCCGTAGACGCCGACGGCGTAGTGGTAGTAGTCGCCGCCGATGTGGTAGAACCCGCGTTGCTCGCCGTCTCGGTCTCCTGCACCTGGTTCACCTTCTGGCCGCCGCGCCCTTTGCCTTTGTGCCAACAGTCTCTGGAGTAGTGGCCCTTCTTGCCACAGTTCCAGCACTCGGCTGCTGCGGCCTTTCCTTTGCCCTTGCCCTTCTGCTTGCCCTTTCCCTTGGGCTGTTGCTGGCCCTTCTGGGCCGTCCCTTTGCCGTCCTTCTTCTTGCCCTTGCCCTTGCCCTTGTCCTGCACGCGGTCCACCTCCATGGGGGCAGGGCCGCTCGAGGAGGAACTCAAGGAGGGCATTGCCAGCGGAGTGGCGGTGTGCCACTTGGCCGTGGAGCGCTCGTACAGGAGGATTTTCTCACGCACTGAAACATAGGTGGTCGAAGGCCCCAAGCTCATGCGCAGCTGTGCTTGTAGCGCCGGCGGCGCGGCTGCAATAAGAGTGCTCACCTTGAGGTCCTCCGAAAACTTTCCTCCCGACACGCGCTCATATTCTCGAACAAGTTCATCGTATCTGCCAAGTTGCTCGCCCAGAGACTTGGTGCCGTCCAGCCGGGTGGAGGTGAGTTGCGTGATAAGCGCAAGTTGTCTCTGGCGGCTGGAGGGCATCATCTCCAAAGTCAAAACTCTCCAAGCCTCGTAGCCGTTGCTCTGGGGGACCGCCCGGACCAACTTTGCCGGCCTGTTCCTCACGAACGACAGCAATATTGCATATAGTTCGCGTGAGCGAACCTGCGTGGCCGGCTCCATGTTCACCATCGCCTTCTCCGAGTTCGCCGTTGCTTCGACCTTCTCGATTTCTACCGCAAACTGGGCGTCTACCACGCCAAGGTAGGACACAAAGGCGAACCTCCAGTCCATCCACTGCTCTGTCTCCTGGTCTCGTGTCTCAGGGCGCTCGTCGACCACGGGCCCAGCTGCCATTCCATCTTGCATGGTTGCTTCCTCCATCTCGGCCTCCGGCACGGCGCCCGCAGAAGGCTGCGCCATTGGTGCGGGGCAGAAAGCCCTGGCACCAACGCTCCAGTCCTCAAAGGGTAGCCCTCGATGCCAGCGACCAACGCCAACGAGGAAGACAGCCAACCTAGGTCCAACCCAGGCGGCGCTTGTTGGGCAGTCCTGGGGCCAAACAGCAAAGAAGAAAACGGAGGCGGCGAAGAAGATTGCACGGGCTGCTCTCAGCCCTCGGTGGTCCAAGGCGGCGCTCTGCCGCAGAGTCGTGGCTCCCGAAGCTATGCCGCACAAGGCGGGCTTAAAGGCTCGCGGGGCGGAGTGGCAGCTTTGGGGATTGGGTCCGGTCCCCGAGCGGTATCACAAAGGATTCACCGCTCTGGAGCGCGATGGCTCCGCTACCATGAAAAACACTAAGACGTGCTGGGACTTTTGATCCGCAAGGGCTGTGGGAATCTCGGTTAATCCATGTCTGATGCATGCGCTGAGTGGGCTCTGAACTGCTTTACAATAAGCGAAGCGAAATGTAAGCGAGAATGGAAGACAGTAATGATCTCATAAGACCTGGAATCATTAAGGATTTCTCGTACTAACCGCTCCTATGTCATCCTCTAGATCTAGCTCTTCATTGGGATTCCGTGGTGCTAGTTTAATTATAATGAACAAGCGAAGTGAAGTGAAGCATGAATTAAACTAGCACAACTAATCCCAATGGCTCCTTTTATTTCATTCATTAAAGCACAAACGAAGCGAACAGAGTGAGAGAAGTGCGCGGGTTTAATGCAATGAAATAAAGAGAGAAATTACAACTAACTTCTGGTACTAATCTCTGTAATGTTGGTATCTTAATAATCTTTGTACCTGTTCCCTTCTTGCTCTTTTATTATGAAGAGAACGTGTGTTTAATTGTGTGCTTTAATTTCAAAGGAGTGAAACAGATGCGAGAATTAAGCACACAAGCAAAGCACACGTGAACGAAATCAGCTTATATTTAGAGGAGAAGTTAGTAAGTTTAGAGATCATTAATAATTCCTCTTATAATCTCCTCATCACCTATCTCACGGCTCATTTCCTTCACATCTCTCTTCTTTGTTTGTTTGTAATGGAACAGAGTGGAAGCACGAAACAAACAAACGAAAGAGCAAAATGTGAACGAAATAATGAGCCGACATGGAGGTGCCATCAGAATCCTTTTGTAGGAGCTCTTGGGATTCAAGAACCTGTTATCCTTGGCGAACCACAAATCAAGGGTTAACCGATGATGAATGAAGAGAAGGGAAAATTAATGTAATGTAGCGCGTGTTTCTTTTATTTAATTTGAACGAAATGTGAACGAAATCACGAGTTCCTGTCACGTAGAAAGACTCACGATGGTACGGTTTCTTATTAATTTAAACAAAGAAGACAAAGAAAGAGCGAAAGAAGTGAGTGATGAATGCGTGCTTCTTTGCTTTAAATTAAACGAAACAAGAACCAGAGTGAGCCATTGGGATTTAGTTGTGTCCTTTATCATTACATTCCTCCTTTATGCTTACAACTAAACCCCAATGATATCTTTCTACAACTGGGTTCGAGCGCTTATGTGGTGTAATAAATTGAAATAAACACGCACTTCGCTTGTTTTATTACACTTAATTCCACCACATTTCGCTCCTCACATGACAGGTAAGATTAGTACAAGAAGATTCCTGTAATAATATGAAGTGAGTCATTTCGTGTGTGTTGTTTGCGCTCTTTTCAATGAACAAGGAGAAGCGAGAAAGGCGCAAACAAGACAAACGAAATGGGGAACGAAATGGGTGGTGCGTTTAATTTAAACGAACGGCGCGCTTTTCATTTGCCCGTTTCTGTTTAAATTAAGCACACAACACCCACTAGAATCCTGGAACTTGGAGCCCTTGTTTGTTTCCTTTCCTTGTGTCTTCTGGCTCCCTTGACAGAGCACCCCACCAAACCAAGCTGACCGGTACCTCCCATACTCTGGACTCGTTGTCCTCTATCTGGATAATCCCCTCGCCTGGCTCCAGCTGTCCACGCCCCGGATTAGCCATGGCTCAGAATCTCAGGGGCAGAACTCCTCCAGCTGCTGCATGTTACGTGTGTGCCGCCTCCATGCTGCTATGTCTGTGCCGCCTTTGTCGCTATAGTGCCATGTATGTGTCGCCTACGCTGCAAGGCGTTACCTGTGAGGAACAGGCGCGGGAAGCAGAACAAGTCAACGCAGAGTACACAGGCCCAAAAGCAACCCCGGCAAAAGCACTCTAGCAAATTGTTACTGCAAAAGTCGGCGGACCTAGCTGGAATACCACTACAAAATCAAAACAAAATGGCATCAGTGAGCAAAGAGCGAGCATCAGTGAGCATCCTAAACCCCCACGGATCAGGTCGACGGCGGTCACAGGCTCGCCGCGAATCGACACTGAGCGCACCCAGCCACGAAAACTTGAGCCAAACCTAGGGGACGTATCCACCGAAATCGCGCTCTCGCCGCAATCTGGGGTGAAACGGCCCGGCCAAGCCTTTTTGGCCTTGCGCGGGCCTTCTCGGGGCTGGCTGTGTCGCTTCTGGCCGGCGGGCCCGGCAGGGTGTGTGGAACATAGGCAGGGCGCACCCCGAGAATCAGCACCGCAGCGGTTCCGTGATGTTTGGCGATTCCGTGTGGCTGTGTTCGACCCATCCTAAACCCCTCCCCGACCACGTTCCGGGGCTGGCCGGCACCGATTTGACAGGAAAGGGTCGATCCGGCCGAAATCGTGCTCAAACCCTAGGCGGGGGACACTCCGAAATCGGGCTCTCGCCGGTGCGTGGTCGGCTTGCAAAACGGCCGGCTGCCGGGGGCCGTCGGGGCGCACCCTCCCCGAGCGGCTTCAAAATCCTGAAAAATTGGGGTGCGGCATGGTGTTTTAGGGCCATGCGTGTTTGGAGTGATAAATGCTGTCAATGTAAAAAATGGATTTGGCGTGCCGGAACGCCACGGAGGAGCCCAGCGAAGCCAATCTCGTGCGGCTGCTGGATCTGTGGTCGGCGGACTGGAAGCATCAAGTGCGCACCCGCATCGTGGGGCCTGGAGCGTTCGAGAAGTATTGCACGCTGGGCTTCTTCGGGCACGGGGGGGTGTGCGGTGTTTCCAACGCAACGAGCAAGCGAGCGGCCTGCGCCGCAGTGAACCGCTTCTTGAAGAGCCGCTTTCCGAACGGCACCTGGACCTCCATCGCCGTGCTTTTCAACCCTCGCATGGGCCTGCACCGTGACATTCAGAACATGCCAGGGCACTTGAATCATGCTTTGGCTCTCGGCGATTACACCGGGGGGCGGGTGTGGATCGAAGACGACGAGGGCGACTCTACCGCGATGCTGGCCGGCAAGAAGGGCGACCGGGAGCTGCCGGGTAGGTGGGTGGACATGCACGACAAGCCCGTCAGCTTCAATGCTCGCCGCTATCACATGGTTGAGCCACACGAGGGCAGTATGTGGGCACTCGCAGCTTATGTTCCGCAAGCCTACGCTCGGGCGACAGAGCAGCACCGAAAGGCGCTGAGAGAAGCGGGCTTTCCGTTGCCTGCTTGAACAAGTCTCTTGCCAGAGAAAGACCAGAGAGACAAAGAGACAATGAGACAACCGATTGTCTCATTGTCTCAGTTGTCTCAAGGGGGCTTTTGCTCTCTCTGGGGAGGGTGTTCCAGCACTCCACTCTGTGATAGCTACAGGCCTCAGTTCAAGACATGGGTCAGAATTCGGTACTTTGGAGCACTGTCGATTCGCGGGCCTACGGCCCGCAGCTCTAGCGATCTTAGGGGCTCTAAAGTCTTTGCAAAACGGGCTTTAGAGGAACTTTAAGGGCGCGCCTCCTGCCAGCAGCTCGCCAGCAGCTTACGAGCTACTTGCTGGCAACTTACGAGCTACTTGCTGGCAACTTACGAGCTACTTGCTGGCAACTTACGAGCACTCGCCAGCAGCTTACGAGCACTCGCCAGCAGCTTACGAGCTACTTGCTGGCAACTTACGAGCTACTTGCTGGCAACTTACGAGCACTCGCCAGCAGCTTACGAGCACTCGCCAGCAGCTTACGAGCACTCGCCAGCAGCTTACGAGCTACTTGCTGGCAACTTACGAGCTACTTGCTGGCAACTTACGAGCTACTTGCTGGCAACTTACGAGCTACTTGCTGGCAACTTACGAGCTGCTTCAAAGCTGCAGCCCAGCAGCTTCCGAGCCCCCTGCGAGCTGCTCCCAAGCCCTCCGCGCCGGAACAGCGCGCGTAAGCGCGCATCGCCCTCAAAGCTTCCGAGCCTTCCGGCCCAGAGGCGGCTGAGACATTGAGACTTTGAGACAACCGGCCTGGAATCAAAGCGAATGTCTCAAAGTCTCAATGTCTCAGCCGCCTCCGGCCCCAGAGCCCTCAGAACCGGTTGTCTCAAAGTCTCAATGTCTCAGCTCCCCTTCGGACGCTCTCAAACTGCTTTCGAAGCCGCGTACGGCCAGTTTGCAAGCACTTTAGAGCCCCTGAGATTGCGAACCCTACGGTCTCCAGTGCTCAAAATCGACAGACCCTTGAAGTAGCAAATTCCAGTTTATGTCTTGAAACTAGCCTCGTAGCTACCACAGAGTGGCGAACTGGAACACTCTCCCCAGAGAGAGATGCAGTACAGCGACGCCACCTCAAATGTTGCCACGCAAATGTTGCCACACAAATGTTGCCACGCAAATGTTGCCACGCAAATGTTGCCACGCACATGTTGCTACGGAGCCGCACCAAATGCCACACAAATGTTGCCACGCAAATGTTGCCACGGAGCCGCGCATGTTGCCACGCAAATGTTGCCACGGAGCCGCACTAAATGTTGCCACGCAAATGTTGCCACGGAGCCGCGCCAAATGTTGCCACGCAAATGTTGCTACAGAGCCGCGCCAAATGTTGCCACGCAAATGTTGCCACGGAGCCGCACCAAACGTTACTACGCAAATGTGGAGCCGCGCCAAATGTTGCCACGCAAATGTTGCCGCGCCAAATGTTGCCACGCAAATGTTGCCACGGAGCCGCGCTCAATGTTGCCACGCAAATGTTGCCACGCAAATGTTGCCACAGAGCCGCGCCAAATGTTGCCACGCAAATGTTGCCACTTCTCTTATGCGGTGGCCTCCAGACTGCTCCAGAGATCGTCGTGCTTGGAGCTAATTCAAAATCGAAGGGTGTTGAACGTACGGCTTCGAACCAAAAACGAAAGATTAACAGGGCTCAGGGCGTACGTTAGTTTCCGAGGGACCTCTAGGGGACCTTCGGGGCCTCTGGGCCTCTCACACACAGCACTCAGACAGAGCGGGCACGCTCCACACTTTTCACTCTGCTGTTCTTCAGCAGTCCGAGTCTTGAGCCAAGCCCGGCACGGCTGGGCTTCAGCTCTCTAAACACTAGAACTGGCTCCTGATGCCTCTTAGGCATCACGCTGTAGCTCTGGCGAAAGCAAACAGGCTTGAGACTCTTCACAAACACTCCAAGCGTCCGCAAAGCTCACTCTGAGGTTCGGGCGGGACGACCGACAGGCGGCCCGACCGACCGACCAACAAACCGACAAAACAAGGTTTCGAAAACATGCGAAATGGTTTCGTTCCAAGCTTTCACCATGCCAAAATAAATCGTACTCACATGACATGCAAAACAAGGCTGTGCAAGATTTTCCAAAGCAAGTGTAAGTGCTTCAAATCAACAACTGGGAACCTTAGGAGGTCACACAAATCATTCCGGTGGTGCTCGCGTCCACGGCCAGAGGCCACTCCAGAGAAACCTAAAGCATGCAGTAATTAAGGAAACTAGGTACAACCTAGGCAAACCTCAGCTCACAAGCGAGGTAAGGATGCACTCCTATCACTCAAGTACAAACCCAGCAGCCTAAGGCTAGCCAGGCCCTCACGACTGCAGTGAGACAGCGCTCAAGTATGTACAAAGTTAGACACTGTAACCCACGCTCAGCAAGTTTAGCCCAGATCTCATTGTGGGGACCTCAGCCCTAAGACCTCAGCCCAAAGGCGAGGTCCCCTTGATGTGCCAAGGGCAGCACTCAGTAAGCGTAGGAGGTTCCAGTGCGGGCCGGGTGTGCTGCAGCGCCTCCAAGGAAGAAGACAGGACAAGCAGGCCCAACTAACTAGAGCCCAAAAACCAAGCCAAAAGAAATTACTCAGCTCAGGCGTGAAGCGGCTGCCCCTCCACTTGTAACTTGAGCGCAGGGCCGACGACTCTCCCCTAAACTAGGCGCAGGGACGACGCTTTCCCCTCAACTGGAGCGCAGGGAACGACGCCCAGCACACCTCCACGCTTGGGCTGAGTAAACGCACAAGGCTGGCGGCTCAAATCCTGTACTGAAGGCCGGGCACCCGTAGCAAGCAAACCAGAAATTGCTGCACCCAGTCCTTCAGGACGGGACAAAACTAAACACGCGCGTAGGCCAGAAGGCTAGCGCAGCGCTTAGGCGGGTTATGCCTCAAACAGTGGGGTGGTTGGCGGCATACAGAAGCTGACTCCTCACTGCCAAGAGTCGCAAAGATTCACAACAACCTAAACCCAGAGACCAAGCAAAGGCCCAAGCATGCAGCAGACACATTGGGAACCTGACCAAAAGGAAAAGAGAGGTGGGAACCCCCTAAACCCCAAGGTCCTAACACCCCTAAACCCTGCAAGCCACCTGCTCGTTGTCAGTCAGGCGGTCACACCTGAGAAACCTGCGCAACCTGCTGCAGCACATGCGGCAACTTACAGGGCTTAGGAGGATTGCAGACACTTCCAAAACCTGAGCCAGCATCTCAGGAAGGAATACTCTGCAAAAACGCGGGCCACCTACCTGGTAGGTCACACAAATCATTCCGGTGGTGCTCGCGTCCACGGCCAGAGGCCACTCCAGAGAAACCTAAAGCATGCAGTAATTAAGGAAACTAGGTACAACCTAGGCAAACCTCAGCTCACAAGCGAGGTAAGGATGCACTCCTATCACTCAAGTACAAACCCAGCAGCCTAAGGCTAGCCAGGCCCTCACGACTGCAGTGAGACAGCACTCAAGTATGTACAAAGTTAGACACTGTAACCCACGCTCAGCAAGTTTAGCCCAGATCTCACTGTGGGGACCTCAGCCCTAAGACCTCAGCCCAAAGGCGAGGTCCCCTTGATGTGCCAAGGGCGGCACTCAGTAAGCGTAGGAGGTTCCAGTGCGGGCCGGGTGTGCTGCAGCGCCTCCAAGGAAGAAGACAGGACAAGCAGGCCCAACTAACTAGAGCCCAAAAACCAAGCCAAAGGAAATTACTCAGCTCAGGCGTGAAGCGGCTGCCCCTCCACTTGTAACTTGAGCGCAGGGCCGACGACTCTCCCCTAAACTAGGCGCAGGGACGACGCTTTCCCCTCAACTGGAGCGCAGGGAACGACGCCCAGCACACCTCCACGCTTGGGCTGAGTAAACGCACAAGGCTGGCGGCTCAAATCCTGTACTGAAGGCCGGGCACCCGTAGCAAGCAAACCAGAAATTGCTGCACCCAGTCCTTCAGGACGGGACAAAACTAAACACGCGCGTAGGCCAGAAGGCTAGCGCAGCGCTTAGGCGGGTTATGCCTCAAACAGTGGGGTGGTTGGCGGCATACAGAAGCTGACTCCTCACTGCCAAGAGTCGCAAAGATTCACAACAACCTAAACCCAAAGACCAAGCAAAGGCCCAAGCATGCAGCAGACACATTGGGAACCTGACCAAAAGGAAAAGAGAGGTGGGAACCCCCTAAACCCCAAGGTCCTAACACCCCTAAACCCTGCAAGCCACCTGCTCGTTGTCAGTCAGGCGGTCACACCTAAGAAACCTGCGCAACCTGCTGCAGCACATGCGGCAACTTACAGGGCTTAGGAGGATTGCAGACACTTCCAAACCTGAGCCAGCATCTCAGGAAGGAATACTCTGCAAAAACGCGGGCCACCTACCTGGTAGGGCAGCTACCATCCACTGGCAGGAGATTTGCATACAGCATGCGTGTAAAGCTAGGCATACGCCTGCCTCAGCCCTGAGGCGAGGCAGGAGATAGGGACTTGTATCTCAGCCTCCCGTGGGCGAGGGGCGGATGCTGCCAAAACACATGCCGTAAAACAAGGCCTACAAAAGGTTGCAAAACACAGTCATCAAAGATCACTCCTGCACTGCTGGATGCGGAGCTCCCACCGCTCCAAGCTTAAGTGTACTCAAATTGCAAGCGCAAGAGTGTCAGCGTGCAACTCGACAGGGCCCCCCGAGGCCAAGGACCAAGTCGGCTGCAGGATTGCTCCAAGCTGCGTGATACTTGCTCAAGGGAAATGGCCGAAGCAAGGCCACTAACCAGAAAACTAACACAAAACAAAAAGCCCTCAGCTCACAAGCGAGGACAGTTGCTGGCAAAATGCATGGAAAACCCGTGCAAAACAGTGGAAATTTCGAGCACATGGTTCACAGTGTCGGTTTGTTCAAGGCAAACTCATGCAAGCAGCACAGACTAGCCATGGCCCCCACTACGCAACCAGTCCACAGGAACTGGCTCCTCCGCTGTCGGGAACTGCGCCCTAGCTAAGCTACACTACAAGCACGGCCCGCCCCAAAGCTTGAGCACTCACGGCAGCTTGAGCCAAATGGCTTGAGCCAGTCACACAAATCAACTCCCCCTCTTGACCGTAAGGTTCCTAGACCCGGTCCTGTCCTCCTTTCGAAGACCACGCCACAGACAAAGTCCTGTGCGTTCGTTCCTCAGTCTGCGCGTCCAGGAGCAGAGGCGGTCCTGAAAGACCCCGAGGCACAGCTCTTCAAGCGTACCTGCCGGCTTGTGAATTCATCCGAGCCGTAGCGTGGCCAAAGCAGTCTCTGCGAAGGCTCTCGGATAGTGTTGTGTAGCTTTAAGGTTAAACGTTTGTGAATGATCGTGGCTACCATCACATGCAAAGTTTCGAGACATGTGTTGAATAAAATCCGCATCGTTAGAAACAAGCTTCCATGTTTTCTTCACCAAAAGATTATCTTGACCTACCATGCCTGCCATGCACCCATGCACAAGCCCTTCGTGGTGGCTTCTGCTCCGCAGGAAGCTCTTCGTAGACTGCCAGCCCCAATAGCTGCATCTTTGTCGCCATTCCATCACCCAGACACTCACTTGTGGGTGGGTGTTCAGTTTCAACCACGACTTCCAAAGCTTTCTGTGCACTGTGAACAGGGCCTGCAAGTGCTCTTGGTGTTAGGGGTTGTGGTGCAAGTGCTTTCTTTGCCAAGGGCTACCCCCGGTACAAGGCGTGCTGCTCCAAAGAACAACCTTCATTCCCCAGCTCCTGGCAACATCCATGGCTGACATGAGCCGCTCCACGGTCTCAGGTGAAGTCCCATCTACTTCCACAGTCACCGGCAGAACAAAGACAGAGTAGTCACACCCCGTGGTCACAAAGCTAGATTGCGGATCGGTACAAAACTCAATGAACAGGGTTCCGTACGAGGTTGGGAGCTCACAGAGGCCCAAGAACCTTTCCCACTCAAGTTCTGTGTTGTCAAAGATCGAATTCAACAGCCCTGTAAGGAACACACACGAGCGAACCACCGGCACAGCACAAAGGTCAACCTGGTGGACGTCTTCCAATCCTAAGGTCGTTGTGTGTTTCAAGGTCTGGGGCCTGTTGAGGTTCTTGGTGAGGAGATCACTGACGTTCTCTTCTCCGGCAACCCCGTTAATCACTAACTCGTTCTGATGCACCCTATCCTGAATAAAACAAAGTCTGATGTCTACATGTCGCATCCTCCGAAGGAACCCCTCCATCCCGGCAATCTGGCGAGCAGATGCGCTGTCGGTGTAGATAGCGAGGGGCTTGGCGATCTCGCCCCAAATGTGAGAAGCCAGCTGACCTAAACCGGCAATTTCCTTAGCGGCCTCGGCAATGGCAAAGAGTTCGGCTTCGGCAGAGGATAAGGCAACTACGGTTTGTAGCCTACTGTAGCCCTTTACGCAATACCACAGGGAACCGGCCACTACGTAGATAACCCCACCGCTAGTACTCTTCCTCCCGGTGCTACTTTCACTGCCCCAGTTGCTATCACAGAACGCCACCAAAGTGGCACCCTCTTCTTCCAAAGTTTCCCCGCTCCCGGCGGGAAAGACCTGATCAAGCAACGGACAACCGACCAACCACCGAAGAAATTTCCTTAGCGCATCCTCGTGCACCATCCTTGGTGCAGCTTGCCCTCTCGAAATCATAGAGTGGAAATATGTGATGTCAGTGCGCGTCTGGGTCAACCAACCAATCTTCCCAAGGCAGGACCTGAACCTACCCGCGGCTTCTGGAGACAAAGAGGGCGATGGGGATTCAGGGTCCTCAGCATCATATAAAGCCCTAATGTCGGGGGTTGTGGCCACAGGTTTGACCTTAGCCAGGTCCTTCTCGGTCCACCCAAAGGCAGAGAAGACTGAACGCACGTACTCAGGTTTCACTCCAAGGGTGATGTTGTTCCCATCTAGCTTGATAAGCCGTCCTAAAAACTCAAGTTGGCCATCTTCATGGAGCCTTCCGGTGACCTTTACCTTTAGAACCGCACTCAGGGACTTGTGGATAAACTCAACCCCCTCTTGGCTGTCGGAGACGATCAATAAATCATCCACATAAGCTAGGGCGATGATATACGTCCACTTCTTTCCGAGCTGAACCCATCCACTAAAGAGCGTGGGCTCGAGCGGCGAGGCTTTGAGGCCCAGGCCGACCATAATCTTACCGAGGTGCCTTTGCCAACTCAGGCTCGCGCTGCGCAAGCCATACAAGGCCTTCTCTAGGATCAAGTACGCGGGGCCTCCGCCCTCTAGGCAGAAAGAGCTCGGGAGCTCCACCACAGTGGGTTGAACAACGTTCGCAAACAGGAACGCAGTAGAAATGTCCAAACCCCAAACCCGCATACGGCCCTTCGCGGCTCTCGAAAGTATGAGCTTGAGTGCCTCCACACTCGCGGTGTTCGAGGAGAGGCCAAGATCAAGGGCAGAAGGCCTGCCGTGCGCGAAGTCTTTCGCCACGAGGCGTGCCCTGACAAGCCCTGGGGCTTTCTGTGTCAGCACCCACCGTGACTTTATCACGCGGCACTCTGGGTTCTCTTCCTGGTAGCGATCAACTTCAGACCTGGAACGAAGGAGGCCGACTTGCAAAGAGTCGACGGCCTTGACCTCAGTCTTCATTCCTTCCCAGCTCTCTTTGTTGTCTAGCTGAATTCCATCGACGTCGTCGTAGGAACTCCGAGGCCTAGAGACCCAAACCCAGCGATCCCCAATGGGCATATATGTGCCCTCTTTCTCTTGATCTTGATCATTGCAAGCAGACAGGTCCGACCGACCAACCGACCGACCAACCGACATGCTCACGCCCGACCGACCAACCGACACGCTGTCGCCACTCGACCGACCAACTGGCACGCTCAAGCCCGACCGACCAACGTCATGCTCCACACGCTCATGCTCAAGCAACGCAATGCAAGAGTAGGGCAACTTATCGCAAGAGGAGCGGCCGTCGACAAGCAACGAGCAAAACGCTTGCAAATCATACACATCACACGCGGTCAAGGGAGTAGGAACGTAGCGGACGCAGCCGCAAGCCCACATTTCCTCCAATAACCGAATCGCGGGGCGATCATCCTTCGGTGCCTCGGCGACACCCATCAGATCATCTTCTCCCTCGTCCTCGGAGGGCAACGAGGGCTCGTAGTCACTAAGATGGTCGTTGGCCTCCGCACTGATCTTTGGTACTTCTACTTCTTGCTCTGAGGGCGCCGAGGGCGCCGGAAACTCACGAACTTCCGAATCACCGAATCGAACCCGCTTGGCCGGTGGGCCTTGAGCGGGCGGAGGGTCCCGACCAAGCTCTTCAAGAGCGTTGTCCACAGCATCTCGGAGCCACCGCTGGTAGCGCCGGACGCACTTTATTGAATGGCGAGAGGACGTGGCCTCTTCGGAGCATCCGGGGCACTTAGGGGTGCCACCGTGCTCGCGGATCCGTTCTTTGGAGGGTCCCCCTCCCGGCACGTAGGGAAGGTGGAGCTCGCGAAAGCGCTCCTCATCCAAAGGTGGCACAAAGCCTTCCAGAGGCCTGGCACCGTCAAGCAACGAAGCATCGTATCGAAGAGGGTAGAGCAACTTCAGACCCGGCGCAACAATCAACTTGGTTTCTCCAGAATCCAGCCGGATACGCACCTGGTGCCCGGTAGAACCAAGCACAGGACCCAGGTACACCCCGCGGGCATACTTGGTATCAACCTCCTCTTTGCTAGAACGGCTGACCTTTGCGAAAACGACAGCCCCGAAGGGATAGGTCAACTGGGGCTTGTGGTCGTGGCCCCGCAGCTTCTGCAAAGGGGACATGGTGTTCCCGACCGACACTGCAAATCGATTGTGCACGTGTGCCGCGTATCTAAAAAGAAACTCTAAAGTACCCGGATCATCTCCGAGGACAACACCATTTTCACGGAGTTGTAATTCGTGAGAAGACACAATCCCTTTCAAGGTTCGCACTGCTCGTTCAGCAACGGGAGCTTGGCGCTCCGGAGCAAAACTTTCACTGTGTCCCTCATACCGTTCCGCTAGGGCCTGTGCAATGCTGATGGTCAGCGGTTCCGGATCTGAGTAGAAGGAGGGCTTAGGAGCAGCGCTCTGGCCTAATCCAAAATGAGCTAGCCACGGCTCGAGATGCCCGGCTGATTCGCGTCCACTCATCCCTTCTGGTCGGAACGTCACTCCAATCGCAAAAGCAAGCACATGCACTAGGATAATAAAGCACCTTGAGCGATACATGAACTGATCTACCTGATACTCTTTATCGGGTCTGTCACTTCGCACGCGGGCTGGCGTCAGCCCTCGGCTTCTGTTGCAAGCTTCACAGCTCGCCCAGTATGGCACGTGACCCTGAGAGACATGTGACAGGCGCTTGTGCAGCTCACGGCGTGTCTCCGGATCTTGCGATATGATCAGCTCTCCCTGCCCTGCTGCTAAACCCAAACCGGCCGGACCCTCTGGTTGCGTATTGGGCTCCTTGTTGTGATTCTTCTGGTTGAGGGGGTCCTCTTCCTGCAACGGGGCAACAACAGCAGCGGAACTGAAAACTGAGCATGGCTGACCGCAGAACTCACACGAAGCGTGCACTCTAGAATGTTTCCATGCATGCTGGTGCGCTGGCAAAGCAAAAAGGCCATTATTCATGGCGTCGGGCTTCGAAAGCTGTGAGACGATTACGGGGTCGGGCTGCGAGAAGATCTCCTTGGCGGAAGTGGCGGCGGGTTGATAACCCACATTCCCGATGGAGGTGCCGGCGGTGGTGCCAGTGGTGGCCCCAGAACACTCCCCGTTGGGCTTGAAGTAGGCCGGCTCACGGTAGGAGCAGGAGGCGGGATCGGCAATGCGGTGCGCGGACGCACTCGCCGAGATTCTGTGGCCATCTCCGCTGCAATCCTCCAGGAGTCTGCTTCTGCCTCCGTACAGATCCCGAGCCTCATCCTCGTGTGTAAGCTCTCGCCGCTGGGCGAACTCAGCACTGCACCCGGATGTGGGTAGCTGCGCGGCACCCACGAATATGTTGGTGGAGCCGAAACCGGTGGCGGCGGAGGTGCCGGAGGCGGCACACTCGGCGACACATTGGGTGGCGATGGCGCTTCTTGCTCCATCCCTGTGTCCTCGGCCATCTCGGTGTCCTCCTCCGCAGGTGCCTCCAATGGCGCCGTCTTGGGCGGCGTCTTGGGCATCATAGACCCAAGCCCCTTCGGATCCACCGACTTGGGTGGTGTCTTTGGCTGCAGATCCCCGCGGCCAGCCTGAGCTGGCTTCCAGCCACCCCAGTTCTCCGAGTCCGTAGACGGTGGTGTCTTGACAGGTGAGGTGAACACGGCCTGAGCTGCCACTCCCTCGCTCAGTGGAGTCAATGCCCGCGCTCCCTCCAGTTGTTGGGTCGAGCGCTGCTGGACCCCCAGAGTGTCTGGCCAAGGCCGCCCCCTGGCCTTCACCCGTCGTGTCTCTGGCTCTGTTGGAAGTACACGGCGTTCCACTGCTCGCGGAGGCTCTGATGGTTCCGCCCAGATTCCCGGAAGTGCATTGCTGGATTTGGCTGTGGCTTCCGAGTTGTCCTCTGGCGGCAAAGTTGAGGCACCCGCCTTCGCCGGTTGGTCGCTGAACCAAGCCAGTCGGAGAACTAGCTCCCTCGCCTTCTTGATCTCGGGCTCGGCCAAGTCCGGCATACGAAGCTGGATCATCATATCGATCCTTTCGGGATCGGAAAGCCTGTCCGGTAGAAGCCTCAAACCAGGGCGGTTCCTGGCGATCCACGACTTCATGTGGTGATTGTGGCTGTCGGACATTAAATGAGCCTCCGTCGCGTGTTTCCCGCAGACCATGCAGTACTCGCAGTAGTTGCGGTTGTTGTGGCTCAGGGCCTGAGGGCTTGACCACTTCCCCTCTGGGGCAATATAAGGAGGGGTCCTACCTCCTCGTCGGAGGATATCTCCATTGCTTCCGCCCGGCCTGTCCAGCCCTTCTTCGCACTGGCCTTCATCAGCTAAACCCTTAAGGCTCAAGCTTGTGCCTTGGCGATCTGCGGAAACCCTCTGTTCACCTACACTGTCGCTCGAACTGCACACACCGTCATGCACAACCGACCGACCAACCAACCGACCATGCACGCCAAGCAAACGCTCTTCAGAATCACTGCACGCAGGTTGCACTACAGAAACTGGCTGCAACGGCACTGAAGAGTCACTAAAACCTGGCTGCACCCACTGGCCTCGATCGGAAGATGTGGTCCCCGAGCGCAAAGGTGAAGAAGATGGATCCACGGCACTCGATTGCAAAAGCTTTACCACTCTAGCAGGCAACTGACCTACCAACTGCACTCCAGGGCTGCCGCAAGACGATTGACCTACCAACTGCACTCCTGAGCTGCCGCAAGACGATTGACCTACCAACTGCACTCCTGAGCTGCCGCAAGACGACTGACCTACCAACTGCACTCCTGAGCTGACGCAAGACGACTGGCCTACCAACTGCCCAACAGAGTCCTCGCAAGCATGTGGCAAAACACTCGGTTCAACATGCGTTGTTTCATGCTGTTGTCGTGAAAAATCATGCCCATGCTGTGAAAAGTCATGCTCATCGTGCGAAAACTCATGCTCATGCTGTTTCTCAGGTGAGGAAAACTCAAGAGACCTACCACTCGACAGACCGGAAGACGACGAGACACTCGCAAGCGTGAGCTTCGCGGAAGAATCAGCCATCACACTCTGAAGCCATGTGCAGTCGCCGAACACTGCTGGAAGCAGCGTCACCTCCTTACGTTCCGCTGTTAAGAGACCCCGATAAAGGGTAGGCTTCCAGCCTCTCCAACAGAGGAGGTTGAGGTTTATCAGGTTGTGTTTGATTTCGCTGCTAACTACCGCTTCTAGACGACAGGTGCACGCAAAAGTGCTCAGAACTCCTCCTCGCTGCTCAAAGTGTCGAGTGGTGAGAAAATTCACCTCGATCGTCGCGTGGGTGTCGCTTCCCACTTCCACCAGGTCGCCAGTGGCAGTCTGGCACACAGTCTTCGGTCGCTTCTTTCTCGACAAAACCTTGACGTGTCCACTCTCAAGCGTCGCCTGGGAAACCACATGGTACGAGCTCCCAGAGTCGAGAAGCCAATAGATCTTCTCTCCCGACTCAACGAAGGAAGGTGCGACCATGGGCATCGCAAAGTATGCTCCCTCAAGGAACGTTCTGACGCCCTTCTCTGTTCCCTTCCCAACGTCGCCCTTCGTAGTGGGCTGGTTGCTCGGCGCCTTCGGCGCAGCCTTGGCAGCTGCAGCGCTCCCCGAACTCTCCGCAGCGCCTGTCGTCACAGTGGCGTTGGCCTCGTGGGGGGAAACCGCAGCAGCTTGCTTCAGCCAACAGTCGCGGGCCCAATGTCCCTTCTTCCCGCAGTTGCGGCAAACGTCGGTCTTCTTGGCCTTGCTCTTGGCACGTGCAGCTGAACCCTTTCCGGGCTTCTCCTTCTCCTTGTTGCCCTTGTCTGCTCGCTCTCCTTTGCCCTTTCCTTTGTCTTTACCTTTCCCTTTGTCTCCTTTGCCCTTCTTGCCTTTGTCGCCTTTCCCTTTGTCACCCTTGTCGCCTTTTCCAGCACCGAACGCGTTCAGGTAGCCGTGGTGGTGCTCCTTCTGGAAGTTTAGCACTCGAAGCTGCTCGTCGTAAAACTGCAGCCCTTGCAACATTGCATCCAGACCGCTGGTGGTCTGGTGCAACAAAAGGTACTTCTTCGCGTCCTCGTCCAGGTGCTTCAAGACTCCCAGAACAGCTTCTTGCTCGTGGACCTTAAGCTCAGGGTACTTCTTGCCAACCTGAGACTCAAACTTCATGAGCTCAGTCATGTACCACCTCATCACATCAAGTGGTCGCTTGAGGTGCTTGGGAGGGTGAAGATTGATCATCTGCTCCCTCAGCGCTTGGCCCTCCACCCTCGAACGGACCGAGAGCTCTCGGTTGAGCAGGTGCCAGAACTCGTATCCGGCACTTGCTCCTTTCTGAGCAACCTCGATCAAGTGGATGAGGTCCTGGGCCCTTTGAAACTTGCTCAAACTCTGGCGTAGCAAGAACCAAAGCTTGCTGGACCGCGCTGCCTTTCCGACGTCCAACGTACTCTGCTGAACTGGGACGGCGCTCTGCTCTGACTCGTCCAGCTCTTCTGCGAACCGGTCGTCAAGCAAACAGAGCCAGCTGGTGAGCTCCTCCTTGTAAGCACTCCAAACCCGAATCTCAGCATGCCTCGTGTTCATCGAGGCAAAGTTCAGCTGAGGCAGAGTCGGAATGTAGCTCTCTGCCCTTCTAGAGCGGATTCCCGTGTCAACTTCCATTGGCGCGGGACCAGAGGTGTCACCCGAAGAGCTTGCAGGCGCGGTCGCAGCTGCACTGGCACTTGTCTGGCTGGCGTTCTGGACACCAAGCACTGCCAGGTCCTTCACCAGGTTAGTGAGCTGCTGCACTTGGGCCGTTTGAGCCCTGATCTGCTCGTCCTGGGCCTGCATCATCTGCCGAAACAGATTCACAGTGTTGTCGTCAAGGCTTCCAGGGTTCACTGGCAACTGTTGAGGCACAGTTGGCGTAGGAGGCTGTTGTGGTGGCGTTCCCAAACTGAAGTACTGCGTCTGGTGCGCAGCCTGTGCTGTCGGAGTCTGGCCCGCAGAGGCTAAAGGCCTCAGGTCTACTCCGGGACGGTGTGCAGAAGGGGAGTTGGCTGCCGGTACACTTCTCGCACGCACTCGTGGCACTGAACCAGACCTTGCAGAGAGGCTAGAACTCAAACGACTAGCTCTCCCACTCGAGTCACGGCTCCTCCCTCTCGGAGAGCGGTCTCTCCCTGCTGCACCACCTGGGCCATGGCTTGCCATGGCTCTGGAGCACGAAGCTCCGCTACCACGTTAGTTTCCGAGGGACCTCTAGGGAACCTTCGGGGCCTCTGGGCCTCTCACACACAGCACTCAGACAGAGCGGGCACGCTCCACACTTTTCACTCTGCTGTTCTTCAGCAGTCCGAGTCTTGAGCCAAGCCCGGCACGGCTTGAGGCTTCAGTACACAGCTCTCTGGACTTCAAACACTTCACAGCTCGTGAGCACTAACAGCGAACTTGGGCTTCAGCTCTCTAAACACTAGAACTGGCTCCTGATGCCTCTTAGGCATCACGCTGTAGCTCTGGCGAAAGCAAACAGGCTTGAGACTCTTCACAAACACTCCAAGCGTCCGCAAAGCTCACTCTGAGGTTCGGGCGGGACGACCGACAGGCGGACCGACCGACCGACCAACAAACCGACAAAACAAGGTTTCGAAAACATGCGAAATGGTTTCGTTCCAAGCTTTCACCATGCCAAAATAAATCGTACTCACATGACATGCAAAACAAGGCTGTGCAAGATTTTCCAAAGCAAGTGTAAGTGCTTCAAATCAACAACTGGGAACCTAGACGTGAGCTCCAGGAGGTGAAGTGGAACATCAGATACCGAGGAATGTGTCGGTTCCGCAGTGGTCCCCTCTTTTTGCAGCCGCTGTCGTGCGTTCGTCGGTCACGGCGTCCAGCCTCGGATAGATCTCCGGGTACACCTCGTCGAAGTACCATTGCGCCGACTTGCAGAGTATGTCTTGTTCAACATGGGAGAGCTTCTTCTGCTGCGCTGTCGGTTTGTCCGAGCAGTTTCCTCCTGTCTCAGGGAGGCACTACATCCGCAAAAATCTGCGACGCGTTCTTGCGGCTGGACTCTATATGACGCTTGCCAGCAAGTTGAGATGCAACTGCAGATGCGAGCGAAACTAATGTCCAAGGCGCTGAGTTCACACCGCAAAAGCAGCTGGCGCAGGAGGTCACACAAATCAACTGCGTAGAACGCACGATCTTCGGCCTTTTAAGCGACCGAGCGAGCGAAGTCTGCTTTTCTCACTTTACTTTCTTCGCAAAAACCACCCCATCAAATGATTTCGTGTGGCTTCTTCTTCTTGTTTTTGTGTGTGTGTGTGTGTGATTGCGTGGGGGCTTGTAATTGTGTTTTGTTTCATTAAGTTTGCTTTTCTCACTTTATTTTCTTCGCAAACTCCTCACAAAACGATTTCGTGTTTCTTCTTCTTCTTGTTTTGTGTGTGTGTGTGATTGCGGCTTAAAGGGCTTAAAAAGGGGGGGGAGGCTTAAAAGGGAGCTTAAAGGGGAGCTTTAAAGGGGGTCTTAAAGGGTGGCTTTTTTTAAAGAGGCTTAAAGAGAGGCTAAAAGAAGACTTTTTTTGGCGTGAATGGGCCTCGTCGACTACGGCTGTAGCACTCGGTCCCTACAAGCAAACTAACAAACTACAAAGCACAGAACTACAAAACAGTGAGACAAAAGCGAAGCTCTGCAAGCTGCGGCGCACAGGCTTTGCCGGTGGGAGCCGTTCAGCAAACTACGAAGCCTCAGCGACCGATCCGAAGCAACAAAGAGCCGTCGCTCTGAGCCGCCCAAAGCAGCAGGTGGAGCCAAAGCCAAGCTCCGGCAGCCGTTCTAGTCTCGACAGACAACGGACAGCCCCTGTGCTTTGTTTCATCACGATCGAGCACACCAAAATCCAAAAGTCCAACGCCCACCGCGGTGAGCGGCTTCTAGACATGATGCGGAGCCAGAGTCGTTGCGACTCAAAGCCGGCCAGATGCGACCGCACCCCGAGGACGAGACCAATCGAGTCACGGTGTGCAGCAGTGGCGAATTGGATGCCGGCGTCCAACGCCGCCAATCGCCGCCCACAAAGCGTGTGGCCAGGCCAGGATGCGGCCGTAGGGAAAAACTTGTTGTGCGTCGAGACCCAGCACAGCGCAACTCAGGAACGTTCCAAGAACGGCAACGGGTCGCCCCTGACGAGGCTTGAGCCAAGGCAAGACGGTGCGGCTGCTCGGATGGGACGGGCCCCTGCCGCGACCTGATGCTGGTGGCTTGCGAGCTTGTACCCGGCGCAATCCTCCGTGCAGTGGCTCCTTCCATTCCCACCCTTGTTGTTTTTGCCCTGCTCGTTTGCCCAGGTGTCCGCTCGGCATGGCGGCTGGACTCGAGGCGCGCAGGGAAGCTGGGCACATGGACGACGCGCCCGCAGCTGCAAGGCAGGTTGCCGATGCCATGAAAGCTGCACCTAGTCTCGGATATATTTGGATTCGTAACGCCCGCGAAGACTATGACGGCACAGAGATCATTGTCATAGGCTTTTCAGGGCCTGATCCGAAAAGGACCTGCCTCAGGGCCTTGGGCATCCTAACTGGTTCGGACGAGGGCTTGGTTACTGCTGCAACTGCAGCCAAGGTCCAGCAAATAGATCTGAAGACGCGGTTGAGAAGCGGCTTCGACCGGGAGGCGGGTGAGGAAGAGAACCCGCTTGATGACAGCTGCACCAACTGTGTTCAAGGACAACTTGCGGTGTGCCGAAACCACGGAGCAGGGCGGCCAAGGTTCCCCCCCCCGTCCGCTACAATGCGCAAGGTCAACATCGGCCGGTGTGCAGTCTGAGCGCACACAGTGTGTGTCGCCGATGCAATGCATGGGGGAAGCCAAATTGGGTCGCCCAAGACAGTCGAGGTCATGGTAAGAGTCTGGCCGTGCTGAGGCCAGCATCCACGCGTCCCAGGCTGCTTGGCGAGTGCAACAAGGCCCAAACAAGGGATCCACCAGGCAGCAAAATGCACCCTGCTGAGTGCAATAGAGGGAAGGTGTGGGGTTCTGCCCATGCCTGCCGTTGAGCAAGTCGAAGCCCGAGGAATGACGTTGGCCGGATCCTCGCTCAACGCACATACCAAGGCAAGAGGGAAGGCCAAATCATGTCAAACGGACATCGACGTATGTCGACGTGCCGGCAAGGTTAGGAGTCCAGAGGGGAGAAGAGCACAGCGCAGGCGCCCCGGCCCAGAAAGTGCGGCGCGACCAGTTGGCGTCGACCCTGCTCATAGACAACCAGAAGCGGCAAGCACCAAAGGCTGAAACGGATGAGCCTCCAGACCACAATTTAGGAGGCCAATGCAGCGGGTGAATAGTTTGGAAGCGGCATCAGCCTGCCAAATCGGAGATGCGACCGCATGCCGAGGACGAGACCAATCGATTCACTGTGCGCAACAGTGGCGAATTGGATGCCGGCGTCCAACGCCGCCAATCGCCGCCCACAAAGCGTGTGGCCAGGCCGGGATGCGGACCGTAGGGAAAAACTTGTTGTGCGTCGAGACCCAGCACAGCGCAACTCAGGAACGTTCCAAGAACGGCAACGGGTCGCCCCTGACGAGGCTGGGGCCAAGTCAAGACGGTGCAGTTGCTCGGATGGGACGGGCCCCCCCCCCCTGCCGCGACCTGATGCTGGTGGCTTGCGAGCTTGCACCCGGCGCAATCCTCCGTGCAGTGGCTCATTCCATTCCAACCCTTGTGGTTTTGTGCCCTGCTCGTTTGCCCAGGTGTCCGCTCGGCATGGCGGCTGGACTCGAGGCGCGCAGGGAAGCTGGGCACATGGACGACGTGCCCGCAGCTGCAAAGCAGGTTGCCGAAGCCATGGAAGCTGCACCTAGTCTCGGATATATTTGGATTCGTAACGACAGCGAAGACTATGACGGCACAGAGATCATTGTCATAGGCTTTTCAGGGCCTGATCCGAAAAGGGCCTGCCTCAGGGCCTTGGGCATCCTAACTGGTTCGGACGAGGGCGTGTTTACTGCAGCAACTGCAGCCAAGGTCCAGCAAATAGATATGAAGACGCGGTTGAGAAGCGGCTTCGACCGGGAGGCGGGTGAGGAAGAGAGCCCGCTTGATGACAGCTGCACCAACTGTGTTCAAGGACAACTTGCGGTGTGCCGCAACCACGGAGCAGGGCGGCCTAGGTTCTCCCCCCCGTCCGCTACAATGCGCAAGGTCAAAATCGGCAGGGGTGCAGACTGAGCGCACACGGTGTGTGTCGCCGATGCAATGCATGGGGGAAGCCAAATTGGGTCGCCCAAGACAGTCGAGGTCACGGTAAGAGTCTGGCCGTGCTGAGGCCAGCATCCACGCGTCCCAGGCTGCTTGGCGAGTGCAACAAGGCCCAAACAGGGGATCCACCAGGCAGCAAAATGCACCCTGCTGAGTGCAATAGAGGGGAGGTGCGGGGTTCTGCCCATGCCTGCCGTGGAGCATGTCGAAGCCCGAGAAATGACGTTGGCCGGCTCCTCGCTCTACGCACTTACCAAGGCAAGAGAGGAGGCCGAACCATGGTAATAACGGACATCGACGTATGTCGACGTGCCGGCAGTGTCAGGAGTCCCGAGGGGAGAAGAGCACAGCGCAAATCGATGTAAGGCTTTGCCGGTGGAAGCCGTTCAGCAGACTACGAAGCCACAGCGACCGATCCGAAGCAACAGAGAGCCGACGCTCTGAGCCGCCCAAAGCAGCAGGTGGAGCAAATCCAAGCTCCGGCAGCCGTTCTAGTCTTGACAGACAACGGACAGCTCCTGTGCTTTGTTTCATCACGATCGAGTACACCAAAATCCAAAAGTCCAATGCCCACCGTGGCAAGCGGCTTCTAGACGTGATGCGGAGCCAGAGTCTTTGCGACGCAAAGCCGGCCAGATGCGACCGCACCCCGAGGACGAAAACAACCGATCCATGGTGTGCAACAGTGGCGAGTTGGATGCTGGCGTACAACGCCGTCAATCGCCCTAATGCGTGTGGCCAGGCCAGGATGCGGACCGTAGGGAAAACTTGTTGTGCGTCGAGACAGCACAGCGCAACTCAAGAACGTTCCGAGAAGACAACGGGGCGCCCATGATGAGGCTTGAGCCAAGGCAAGGCGGTGCGGCTGCTCAGATGGGACGGGTTCCCTCCCCCCCTGCCGCGACCTGATGCTGGTTTCGAGCGTGCACCAGGC